CCCCCCAGAGGGGACGGTCACGCCGCAATCCCTTCTCCATTCTCCTCTCGGGATCTTGGGCACGCATGCACACGTGCCCGGCTGAGTTTTAAACCACCGGGTCCGGGACGCGAACCGCAGTTGACTACGTGGGAGTCCAGCGACATAGCCATTACGCTAACTGCTGGTTCCCGCAAGAACTACTTTTTAAAAACTTATTTTTACATTTTAAAATTTTAACTTTATGTATTTGTTTTATTTTTTTTATTTTTATTATTATTATTTTTTTTTTGGAGAGGTTTTTGCTATGGGGCACGTGTGCTCACCAGACAGAAAGAGACAGAGAGATAGAAAGTGAGAAATCACCCCCCAGGGGGGATGGCCACGCCTCAATCTCTTCTCTTCCATTCTCCTCTTGGGATCTTGGGCACGCACGCACACGCGCCTGGCGTGAGTTTAAGCCACCAGGTCCGGGACACGAACCGTGGTTGACTACGTGGGAGCCCAGCGACATAGCCATTACGCTAACTGCTGGTCCTGTATTTGCTTTATTTTTAATTTGACCAGAGAGGGACAGAGTGAGAGAGAGGGAAAGTGAGAAAGCAAGTCGCCAGGTCCAGGACCCTAACCGTGGTTGGCCACATGAGAATCCAGCGCCTTTAACCACCATGCCACCTGCCAGCCCTGAAGAACTACTTTCAGACCGATCGTGTATGAAATGATTGAAATCTGGAGAAATGAAGCCACTTGCTCCTAGTCACGCTGCTGGTAAGCGATGGATCTAAGGTTCAAGTCGAGTCAAACTTGGAATCACGCATGCCTCAAATGACTACAGCAGACTTTACTTCAGAACCTAAAAGGTCCAAGGGTCTCTGCATGAGGGGACTTCAAAAGATTTGTGAAAAAAAGGAAATTCAAGTATGAGTTTCTTTTGGGCAAAACCCCCCCAAAGTCCATGTTCTTTCACAATACGCATTTTCCTTGAACTTTCTGAAGTCTCTAGCACAGCACTGGCAGGCCCAAGAGATGGTAACACCTGTCCCACCCCGAGGGCATGACGTCCAGGACAGGCACCAGGACACCCAGCATCTGGGTCAGACCTCAGTCGACAAGGGACCTGCCTAGGCTGGGACAGCCACACCCATGGGTGCGGTCCTGAGGAGGCCACTAGGGCAGGGCCCGAGTCTTCTGAACGACTGGTTTCAGAGGAAGAGGAAACGGGATTCGGTAACTAACTAGATACTGGAGAAAGGAAAGAGCCCGACAGAGTGCCCCACGTGGGCTGTCGGGGAGAGAGGCCGGTGGAGGTGCGGGAAGGCGGCAGGCAGGCCGGGGTGCTCACCAGGCGGTGTAAGTTCAGGCCCCTGGAGTTCGGGTCCCGCCCGATGGCCCAGAGCAGGCAGTCGACGCCAGCAATTGTGGCAGGGCTGGAGGCAGACACGGAGGAAGAGGCAGGCGTCGCCCCAGGAACTTCAGTGACCACGCGGAGCTCCAAGCCTGAGGCCGTCTTCTTAACTTCTGCGACCTGTCAGCAGAGACGTGTCAGACTGCTGCGTGCTCAGAGTGCGGGGGACAGAGCAGACCAGACTTTCAAAACCTGCCAGAGGACTTGCGTACTCAGCAGGGACGAGAGCAAGTGCCCGATGAGAGACGGTCACTCTGCAGTCCCCTCTCAACTCCCTCTTCAGGGTTCTGGGCGCCCAGCCACAAGAGCCCAGCACTCAAACCATGTGGCTGGCCATGTGGGGCCCAGCTGCCTTAACCACCATGCCACTAACTGGCCTGGAAATGAGAATTTTTAACACTTAAAAGAAACCCCCAGTTTGGGAGTGAGACAGCATGTGGAGATCTTACACGGACGACTGCTGTTTGAAAACACGCCACGTGCAAGTGCACATTTGCCCAGAACCCTGATGGGAAGGAGAGAGAAGAGGCTGCAGCATGACCCCCTCCTCCTGGGGCGTGCTTTCTCTCTTGCCTTCTCTCTCGGAGGGGAGTCCATGCCCTCAGACAATTTAAAATAATAATAAATGAACAGAAAGTTATTCATAAGGCAGCTGAGCACAAAAACCCACGCTGTAGTTCTGAATACAACCACCAGGTTTCCATCTCCCCACCGATTTCATGGCCACATCCGTGTGAATGCAGCTCCCTCGGAACACAGAGCTGGCGGCCTAGGAGCAGGGTGATTGCTTGCCAAACTAACTGGGCGAACCCAAAGGCAAAAGGCATGACTCAGGCCAGGACCGCCCGTCTGCGGCCGGCAGGGCACACACCTGGGAGTTCTTCAGGACCTCGATGCCCGCGTTCTCCAGCTCCTCAGTGCAGTTGGAGCTGATCACGGAGTCGAAGCTCCTGAGCACCCCCCCCCCTCTCGGGGTTTGGGGCCCCCCAGCCACAAGAGCCCAGCACTCAAACCATGTGGCTGGCCATGTGGGGCCCAGCTGCCTTAACCACCATGCCACTAACTGGCCTGGAAATGAGAATTTTTAACACTTAAAAGAAACCCCCAGTTTGGGAGTGAGACAGCATGTGGAGATCTTACACGGACGACTGCTGTTTGAAAACACGCCACGTGCAAGTGCACATTTGCCCAGAACCCTGATGGGAAGGAGAGAGAAGAGGCTGCAGCATGACCCCCTCCTCCTGGGGCGTGCTTTCTCTCTTGCCTTCTCTCTCGGAGGGGAGTCCATGCCCTCAGACAATTTAAAATAATAATAAATGAACAGAAAGTTATTCATAAGGCAGCTGAGCACAAAAACCCACGCTGTAGTTCTGAATACAACCACCAGGTTTCCATCTCCCCACCGATTTCATGGCCACATCCGTGTGAATGCAGCTCCCTCGGAACACAGAGCTGGCGGCCTAGGAGCAGGGTGATTGCTTGCCAAACTAACTGGGCGAACCCAAAGGCAAAAGGCATGACTCAGGCCAGGACCGCCCGTCTGCGGCCGGCAGGGCACACACCTGGGAGTTCTTCAGGACCTCGATGCCCGCGTTCTCCAGCTCCTCAGTGCAGTTGGAGCTGATCACGGAGTCGAAGCTCCTGAGCACCTGTGTAGGTGGGGATGGCGGGAAGCAACACGCGTGACTACAGAAGGCAGCCACCACGGAGGGAAAGGGCAGCACCAGCCCTCCTCCTCTGGGCTCGAAGCTCACGTCACAGAGGGAGCAGGAGGGACTCCTCTGTCCCTGCACTGCCATTGGGACGGCTCTAGCAGCTCCCACAGTGGGGTCACACGGGTAGTTTACCCCTCATCCCGTGCGGCTCCTCCTCCCCCTCTACTACCTGGGGGCTGGCACCCCAGCAGGGTTTAAGGGAGGGCGCCCAGCAAAGTCTCAGCCTCCCTTGACTCTCAGGAGCATGGCCTGGAGATTCTCCTGTGAAACCACAGGCGACATGCCCAGGCAGGGTGGGGTGAGCGTCCTGAATTCTCAGAGCTCTAGAATACAGTCACACCAGGACAGGCAGGAGGGAGAGCCAGGGGTTGCGTCCCCAGATGGAGCCCCGTGCTGACGGCCAGCTCGCGCATCCAACTGCCAGCCCCCCGCAACCCCTCCTCTCTGCCTGCAAGCTATACCCTGACCACACGGATAACGTCCCCCCGAAACGTCACTCCGGACACGCACCTCCTGGTGGGCCACGTTTATAGGGTGTGCGCTCAACAGTGAGAAAGCACCCCAGGGCACCCGCCCTGCAACCTCTTCCCTTACACTCTCCTCTGGAGATTCGGGCAGGCACGCACACGTGCCTGGTATGTTTCTCAACGCGTGGACTCTGAGGCTGAACCGTGCAGTTGGCCACATGGGACTCGGCGGCCACCACTGTAGCGCCGGCTGGCCCCTGGGTGTTAATGACAAGCCTCTCACTGATGGACGCGGTCAGTGTCCCTCACCTCTCCCCGTGTTCAAGCCAGAATCAGAACCACAGCCTCTGTCTGTCAGGGGCTGCTGCGGGCCGCACCATCCCTGCAGAACTGGGCCCCAAGGCATGAAGTGACTCGCCCCGTCACCTGTTTACCAGGGACGGCCTGCAGGGGGTAGACCCAGCCCAGGCTGTCCCTGCCGCACGCCCAGTCTCCAGCAGCTCTGACACAGGGTGGATCAGACAAGCAGGCGACGCCCACAGGCAGCTCCAACGTGGGGCTGTCTCTGAGCAGGGATCTCCACGCCTTTCCCAGACCTTGGCCCAGGCCCAGCTCGGAGACGAGTCCATAGCCACAGACACTTCCGCGGGTGTCGGGTCCCTAGAGCAGGAAGTGAAGCTCTGGAGGGTGAGCCCTTTAATGCAATGTCTGGCTAGCTGTCCGGACCGGGTGTTGGCAGCCCGATGCTACCAGACCGTGTGGCACTGATCTCCAGAGCTAAGGTTGGTCTGGTGCTGTTTCAGGACACCGACGGTTGAGTCTGGGTGTCCATGCCCATCACCTGACGAAAATGCCAGCCAGTCCGGTCAGCTCCAGGCCACGGCCCCCGGCAGGCAAGACTGACGGCTAATGCCGGTATGTACACGTGGCGCAGGTCCTCACGGGGAGGCTGCCCCCACCTGTCCCACACCGTGCCCTCACCGACAGCGCGAGAAAACAGTTCTCGCTCGAGACCTCTTTTCTGTTTTGCTGATTAACGTCAAGTAAGGGGAGGGGGCGAAGGGCTGTACCTTGTCGTGCCGTATCACAAGCGATGTCTTAGAGCCCAGGGCCGCCAGGATGCCAGCGATTTCCACCGCGATGTACCCCGCGCCCACGATGACACTGCGGCTGGAACGAAAGCAGAGTCCGCGTGCTCTCAACAACCGGCAGTGGGCCGGGCTCAGGTGTGCAGAGAAGCACAGCATGGTGCAGGGATCTCCCCGCAGTCGGCATCTCACAACCACGGCACGTCTGCCCCAACTACCAACGTGGTGCTGGTGCACTAGCCCAGGCTCCGGCCGCCCATCTTTCCATTGATCACCTTTGTTCTGCTGCAAGATCCCACCTCGAACACCACAGTGCAATGCTACTAAGTAGAAAATATGCCTTTGTGGGGCTGGCAGGTGGTGTGGTGGTTGAGGGCATTGGACTCCCACATGGCCGACTGTGGTTCGAATCCCGGACCCGGCAGCTTGTTTTCTCACTTTCTCTTTCTCTCTCTCTCTAGTCAAATAAATAAAGTTAAACAAAGTCATTCTTAACAGAAAACATTTCTCTGTAGAGGGGACTTTTTAAAAAATTCTTTAGCTTTTTTCCATCAGAGAGGCAACAAAAATCTTTCAAGCTAGAGACGATTCTTCGGCAATGAGCCTTGCGGTGAAAGCTAACACCAGGGCCAGTCTTCACCGAGGGCTGCCCTCCACTCGGCCCGTCTCCTGAACCTGGCTGATCATCAAAGGCCATCCACATCCACACAAGCCGCTTCACCTGCAGGACAAAGCTCGGGTCCTGCCGGCCCCGAGTGCATCTCAGTCTGAGGAAGCCGAACAGCCCGGCATGCTTGGACAGAGGTCTGACCAAGGAAGGCTGAGACGCCCTGCTCCCGGACCTCACGCAGGGACGTCTGCACCCACACACAGCTCAGGCATGCTCTGGGGCCAGCATGGCACCTGACAGGACCGCAGCCCCTGCTGCGGTTCCCAGAGGGGAGAGCGCCAGACCTGCTGGGGACGGGCCCCGTAGGGCCCGAGGGCAGAGCAGCAGCATGGTGCCTGAGGGATGAGCAGCCCCTGCAGAGGGGACGTGCAGGAAGCAGGCGTGCGACAAGGTGTCCCTTCAGAGGACACAGGGCACGGGCTGCCCTCCCAGCCCCGTGACTGCCCTGTAGCCCGCGGCTGGCTCTGCCCTACCCCAGTGCAGATGCCAAGGCCCTGTCTTTGGAAACGCGCTTAGACCCCGTGGGCCACGGAACGACTGCTGCCCTTGTTCCCACACTGTGCCTTCTCCAGTGGGTGAGGGAGAGTGGCCTCACTGGGCCAAGAGAAGCACTCAGCCTTGGCTGGCCCAGAGCCCTCTGCTCACAGCCTGAGAGATGACCGTCACCCGCGGCAGTAGGGGTTTAGAGAGCGAGTCACGACTCTGGGCAAGCAGCCCTTATGGGGAAACCTCGGCCATAAGAGTCGGGCGCACCGCGACCCGAGTGTGCCAAGCCACAGGCACGCTGCCGGCCCAGCCCGCAGGTGCTGCCTGGGTCAACATGGAACCACACGACGCGGGCAGGTCCTGAGGGAGGGCAGGCCCGTGTCTCCTGAGCCTGCCAGAGGGTCCACACAGCCTGCACAGAGCCAAAGCTTGCCAGCTGGGACACCCTCCCGGGACCCTGCCAGGAGTGGTGGCACTGCAGAGCAGCCACCCAGGTCCCCGGGGCCAGATAGCTGTCCTGGAACTGCCCGAGGCTGCCCATGAGTCAGGGTGAAGGCAGGCAGGGACGAGTCACTGCCCCAGGAAGCCCAGTGAGTGCAGGGTGACGACCTCAAGCTGACTGGCAGGAGCCACCGGGGCAGCAGCGCCCAGGAGCCGTCTCAGCCAGGTGCTCCTCCCAAGGGGGCATCTCTGGGCCCACAGGCCCTCCTGCTCCTCCGAATGAAGCCCGCCATCCACAGCACCTCCCAGGAGAAGCCTTCCTCGTCGTCTCTGGTGCCTGCCCGTCTAAACCCACACCTGGGGCCCAAAGGGCACGGCATGGGCTGCCCACACGGATGGCCCACGTGGGCTGAAGCCAGCACTGTGGCGTCAGGATGCCACTGGGTGCTGTCTCTGTCCCAATGGGTGAAATCGGGGACTTGAAGAGCAGCTCCCTGAGGCTCCCCAGGCAGCCACGTGAGAGCCGGCAGGCCCTCGTCCGTGGAGACCCCTCACACGCCGCTTGTTCAGTGGGCTTCAGGCATTTCAGACACACCCAGGTCACGCTGTACCAAGCTGAGGGAAGATGACGTTTGGGGGCTTTACGGTTTACTTGGCAGAATGACCTGTATTACATTTTGGTTCTAAGATTCAGTAGGTCATCAGCAAAGTCACGACACATTTTTTTTAATGTAAAAAGGTGCCATGACTATCCTAAAGCCCCAGTATCAGTGGCCTCTGATCCAAAGCACAGGGGTGTTCAGGGCCGACTGAGTGGCCGTGGCCATGGCCACGCCCCAGGAGAGAACAGGAAAGGCTGCACTAAGCGGTGGGAAGGGGACGGGCACCAGGGACCCAGGACAGCTAAGTCCCCAAGGTGAGCCCGGGGCCGGCTTACCGAGGCAGCTCTTCCAGCTCAAAGAATCCATCGCTGGTGATCCCGAGGCTGGCGCCTAGGAGAGAAAGGCGAGCTCACGCCGGCTGCCCCTGCAGGCCCTGCAGCCTGTGCCCACATCTGCAACCCTCTCGCTCCCGGAGTCACGCTTTTATTTTCTCTCTGGAAATAGGAGCTGGGACAACCATGTAACCTTCAAGCTCCTTGGGAGGACTAAAACCCTGGCTCTCCCACACTCACCCAGCGTAGGCAGGGCCCTCGCCAGGCTCGGTTCTCTCCTCCCTGCTTCTCCCTCGGGTGGGGACGTCCTGCCTGACAGTGCCAGCTGTGGCCTTCCCAAGTGTTGGGTCTGTGTGTCTAATGTCCCAGTTCCACTCTGCTGCACACTCGGTATATTTAGAATTGAATCTTTTTTTTTGTAGAGGTTTTTGCCTTAAGGTGCATGCGCTCCCCAGAAAGAGACAGAGATAGTGAGAGGGAGAGTGAGAAATCATCCCCTGGAGGAATAGGAATGGCCATGTCACAACTCCTTCTCCTCCACTACCCTCCCGGGATCTTGGGCACACAGGCCCGGCATGAGTTTCAAGCCACCAGATCTGGGATCAAACCCGTCAGCCACGGGGAGTCCAGCGATGTAACTACCCCATCTGAAAGGCCCTAGAACTACCTTAACTGCGGCTCCCAACCACAGCCTTGGATCAAGCTTACCATTGCAGTTCAAGGCCTGCAGTCCCCAGTCCCACACGGCCTGAGCTGCCGGCCCCCCTGGCCCAAGGTACTCTCGACCCCACACACCTGTGTCACTAAATCCTGACCTCAGAGGTAAGCTCTTGCAGAGCACACCTGAGACTCCTTGAGCCCCGTAAGTGACCACTCTCCTGCCTTTCACAGCTGCGGGACCCTCAGCCCAGGCATGGCGGCAGCAGCTTGGTAACTGCCCGTAGAGCCGGACGGAGACGTTCCGCCACATCTCACACAGACACACCTCCAGGCTCAGGCCAGCGCCTCCTGCCCGAAACCGCACCCCACCGATCGCCATGCTCTGCGCATCCCCTTTTCAGCCAGTTTCTTTTCCTTTTTATTTTCTGAGAGAGATATTCACTATAAGGCACGTGTGCTCACTGGAGAGACAGAGAGACAGAGACAGAAAGCGAGCAATCACCTCTGGGGGGATGGCCATGCTGCAATTTCTTCTCTATTATCCTCTCAAGATTTGGGGAACAAAAAAAGGATTTTGGGTATACACGCACTTGCACCCAGTGTCTGACGCTGCGACTCAAACCATGGTTGGTCATGTGGGAGTTACACCCCGCCGGCTGGCCCCAGACGAGTCTCTAACGTCCCTGGCTTGTCACTACTGTGTAAGCCAGGGATCAGCTCTCTCTACTCTGGCTCCTTGAGTCCCCACACCTTGGCCACTCACCCCAACGCCAGCCTCAGCTCAGAGTCCCACCTTCAGAGCTTGTGCTGGAGCCAGGCCGGAAAGGCTGAGTGTGGCACCCACGGTCCCCTGCCCCCAGGATGTCTCTGAGGCTCACAGCAGCCACAGTGATCTGTCCCACCTCAGCACCACAGCCCTCACTGTCTGGCAGTCGCCTTGAAACGTTTACTTCCTAGTTTTTTTTGAGAGGTTTTTGCGTTAAGGTGCGTATATTCGCTGGGGGTGAGAGAGAGGGAGAGAGAGAGAGAGAGAGAGACCGACCGACACAGTGAGAGGGAAAGTGAGAAACCAACCCCCGGGGGATGGGCACGCTGCAATCCTTTCTCCTCCAGGGATCTTGTGCACACATGCACATGCACCCAGAGTCATTTTTAAGCCACGGAGTCCAGGATGTGAACTGCAGTGGCCACGTGGGAGTCCAGTGGCCACGTGTAACTGCTACCCATCTGCTGTCCCCTTCACTACATTTCACAAAATTAACGTGTGCGCCAAACACTTCAGGCCCTGCATGCTGGCACAGCGGGAGCATTGGTGCCTGCACTCCTGGGTCCTCACAGAAGAGCTTTGGCTCCCAGGTCAAACGGCACAGGGTGTGCATGTGCACTGTGGCCCGAGGTGGCTGAGCAGGCTAGGGGAAGTCATCGTGTGAGTCCGTTGAGGATGCGTGCGCGCATATGTGTGTGTGTCTCTTACGAAAGAAACTTGTAAAGATGCCCAAGGCACTGGGGGAAGCCGAGGGCACTGGGGGAGCCGAGGGCACTGGGGGAGCCGAGGGTACTGGGGGGAGCCGAGGGCACTGGGGGAGCCGAGGGCACTGGGGGAGCCGCACTCTATGGTGCCATGCACGTGGCGAGGCGAGCAGAGCAGGCCATCCCGCCCTGAGGCAGGCGCCGTCCCAGAGTTGGGCTGACACCATTCCCGACCGTACTTCCGCAGTATGCTCTGTCTGCATTTCGCCATTTCATCCGTATCTGTGAATCAAGAGCAAATACTGCTCTCATTTTCTGTTGCCACCTCGTGGTCTTGCGTGGCAGGGCAGATACCCTAGTGTATGCATTCTGGGTTGTCAGGGAAGGCATGACGCGCTTTTGCATAGAGAACCCCGAACACTATGCCATGACTCCAGACAACCGAACATGATCTGCCTTTAAACAGAAATAAATTGTAGTTGCCTGTACGGGCTATTCTACTTATTTCTTTTTTTTCACTTAACAATAAATCTTAAACACAGTCCCTATCAGAGATGCTGTTATTCAATAACCCCACTCAAAATCTACGTAACTTGAGAATGGGATCTTTGTGTCTTTTATAGGAGTTCTTCTTTACCACTAGGAATCACGGCTCTTTTTCCTTCTTTCCTTTTTTTTTTGAGAGATTTTTGCTATAGGACTTGTGCGCTCACAGGAGAGAGAGAAAGTGAGAAGTCCCCCCTGCCCCCCACGTGGGATGGCCACACTGCACTCCCTTTTCCTCCAGTCTCCTCCTAGATCTTGGGCACGCATGCACACGCGCCTGGCATGAGTTATGATCCACTGGGTCTTGGACTGGAACCACGCTGACCATGTGCGAGTCCAGTGATGCAACTGCTATGGCATCGACTGGCCCCAATTATGATCTTTTTAAAAAGCTGTGAAATTTACAGGTCCTTTCTCCAGGGAGAAAATGAATGCACAAATGTGTACACCTTTCGAATTTCCTGGATGAACGGAGGTGTCTTCCAAAGCCAGACCACAGTGTTCCTGTTCAGCACCCAGACCACTTCCAGGCTGGCTGCGAGAGGACAGGCCACGCCGCTGTGGCAGCGTAGGGCTCCCGCGCTGCCCTGGGCATAGCCCATGTGCACACGGGGCCACAGCAGGTGACCAGCAGGGAGTCCCGACTGTGCCATGCTTTCACCACCGTCTGTATCAACACAACACATGGAAGGCCGCTCAGCCGTCCGGGCTGCATTCC